ACGATAGTGTGGGGGAGAATACAATTGAACAGTAATAACTGCCACTTAGCGAGTGCTGGCTAGGGGGGTCTAGCCTAAGTACTCTATGAGGATTATCTAAGTTAATCCTTTCTAAGGCACTATTATTATCCCAATTTACAGACAAGGAAACTGAGGCTAAAAAATTTGTCCAAGAGCACACTGAAGTTTTAATGAATATTTATTTAATTGAAGACTCCAGTTTCGTGTCAAGAACTAGCAGGAAGAAGGGGGAAGACATTTGTCCCCCCAAAAAACTCCAATCTCACCAACATGTAAGCAGGCCGCAGAGCAAGCCGGCAAGCCCCACTTGCCCTCCTCGGGGGTAACAAGTCCAGCTAGCCTAAACGTGTTTGGGGGCCGTCTCTGGAGAGGCTATACTCCTCCACGGTCTTTGGGGCCCTAGCAGCTTTCAGGGATCCCAAACGTTCCCACCGCCTCTGCCTTTTCTAACGCGGGTCTCTGTGGAACAAAACTGGGGGTTCTAGCTTCTCATTTTCCTGCCCTCTGGAGAGGTCTCAGCTGGTGGGGAGGAGGGGGGTCCTCCGGAGCTGAGCGGGGCGGCCCGGAGGTCTCGCCCTTCCTCCCCGCCACCCCTGCAGGCTGAGCTGTGCCTCCCGCGGGGAAACGCGGGCACTGCAGTCAAATTGGGGCCTGAGGTTCGCCCCAGGCCGCGGGCCTCACGGAGTCTCTGGGCCCGCAGGAACCCGCAGAGAACCCCGCCACCCCCGGGTCACGCGCAGCAGGAGGCGCCGCCGAGGGACGGGACTGGGACTGGCGCGGCCGAAGCGCTCGGGTCCACGCCGCTCCCCGCCTCGCCCCTTCGGCCGGGTCTGCGGCCCTCCGGCCCCAGCCTAGGGCTAAGATTTCACGGCCCCCAGACCGCCTCTCTAGGTGACGCTACAGCCGGTGCGGTTCCTTTAAAGGCTGCGGGTTCCGTTCTTCTTTCCTTTTCCACTGGATGCCAAAATATGCAAATGCGGGCACCGGAATCTACAGCCAAATCGAGAAGGAAAGGGGCGCGGCCGGCGCGTCACCGGATCCGCTCCTTGTATGGCTCTTCCCGGCTTGGCCCGCCGCCCGGCGACCCTCCCAGCAGCCGCCGGAGCCCCTCCCGCGCCCAGCCC